TTTGATGTTCATATATCATGTATATCTTTAAAAATACCATCTAGGAGGTTATATGACATCCTTGTTACCAAGAAATTTAATATTTTCATTTGTCCTTATGCAACAGAGCTGACGACGAAATTGGTACTGAACCGTAGCTAATTGCAGTTTAGTCACCACTAGTAATGAAATAATTATATGGCATAATATCAGCTGTATTTTTTATAAACATATTAACACCAGAAAACACAAGTTTGTCCTGCTTTCTAACAATAGGCTATATACATTCATTCATTTCAGTACAATCTGTACTGAACTAGTATACATATTTGTTTAGGGGCCAGCTGAAGGACGTCTCCGGGTGCGGGAGTTTCTCGCTGCATTGAAGACCCATTAGTGACCTTCGGCTGTTGTCTGCTCTATGGTCGGGTTGTTGTCTCTTTGACACATTCCCCATTTCCATTCTCAATTTTAATCATTCATTTATGCCTTGGACGAATAAGTTTGCTTGAAAATGATGCTATATATGTCTTTGAAGAAATAACTTACAAGCTAGATGTTTTTCATTTTTTAAATGTTTTATGTAAAAACGGCTAAACATATCTCAACCATCTTTAGTTAGGTAAGGCGTAAGCAGACAAAAAGATTCAATAAATCAAATTTAGACAATAGGTGAAAATTAAAGATAGAAATTCTAAGACTAAACAATTGAAGAATAAGTCATTCAACAGTTAAAATATATTTTTATTGATATTGATAAGTAGAGCTCTCTCTCTGATTGATAAGTGAAGATTTATCAATTGTTATAACTAAAGACATCATCATGAAGCGAGTTAGGTCGCAAGCGCTTTTATAGTGGGTCTCCCTTTTTATGTGTGTTTAGGAGTAATTCTTATTTGAAAGTTTTCTTTCATATTTCAACTTATTTTCACCCTTCTTAAATTTTCTAACTGCTATCAGTGCGATTTAATACTAACAGTATTTATATCTGATGTGCCTCTGTCCTTATTTTCAACAGTGCAAGAAAACAGTGCAAGAATTAAAGGTTTAAAATGTGCCTGATGATGTCACGGATAAAAATTCACAGGACAATAAGTGACGACATTCAAAGTTCAATGTAGGATAAACAAACTTAATTCACGTAGTTTTTTCACTGACCCCCACCCCCTCTGAACTTAATTTGTGAAAAATTGATTGACTAATACAGATATATGTAAAATCGATGTCAAATAAACAAAACTTGCAGCAATTTTTACCCCCCCCCCCCCCCCCCCCCCCCCCACCACACACCCCAAACTATTTGAATTAAGTTTTTTTTATCCTACATTGATCTTTTGATGTCGTTCCTAAATCAACGCTCATTTATGCGATTCATAGTTTGTCTTTGAAAAACAAATCGCCTTTAAAAAAAGCAATTTACATTGTTCATGAACAATTGATTATAAAAACTTGGGAAACATTTTTCTTGTTTGAGATTTTTTGCCAAACAGCAAGAAAGATCGAAAATTTAAATTAAAAAAAATCAGGCACACAAATTCGTCGGACAAAACTAAATTAATAAATATAAGTTAGTTTTTATGAGTCGTGGCATATGCACCAGACAAAAGGTGTTTTGGAATACATGGAAAACCCAACATATCAACGAAGAAGGGCCTCTTTTGCTGTGCATAAGATTAAAACTTGTCACCAGGTCTTCAGCAATCGGCTTTTTAATATTCATTTACAGTGACAACACATTCATCATTATAACAGAAACCAACATTCAATGTTTTGTAAGCGTTACATTTTTTTTACACAAGACATTTGAACAGTGTATTTCTAAAATGAGCGAGAGACAACTTACATGTGTTTTGTATTGCACCATTAAGTAATTAAAAAAAAACATATATATAGAAAATGACAAATTAAAAGAAAAAATAAAAAAATAAAAGCAGCAAATTAAACTATCTATACATAGATAACACTAATCAATATATTTCCATGGTCAAACTAAAGAGCGAGGAACACGATTCCCTAAAAAAGAGTGATTTGAAATATTTTTTGCATTAGTTTTCGAGTTCTCAAATTTGTTTTAATAGTTCCACCACATTGATGTAATGTCATTACAGGGTGATACTTCCACAACAAACCGTGCATACATTCATTACATGTACATATGTCACTAATTATCACAAGTTGTATTGTATCAGATTCAATTTAATAAAACAAATAGTGGCATCCTGTTGAGCATATATAAGACATCGTAATTGGAGATAGGAAAGACAATCAAGCGACAGGGTGCCTGCTGATAATAAAATTCATTTGACAATATATCAATTTCGAACTTTTTTAATATACCAACTTTTCATTTTCTTTAAATATTATCGAAATACAAACGATGGAAAAATGTTTTACGGGTGAAAAAAATTTTATTAAACAGCGAATCGTTTATTATTATTTAAATGTAAATGTATACTTTACCATTTATCATTAAATACGTTTCACCAAATATGAATAAAAAATATCTTTATAGTCTCTATTATATGAAATTATATGAACTATGAACTATCATGAACAAGAACCCTTATAGTAAAACTTCATTATGTCCTTTGAACATTTGAGCTATCCCGACGAATACAATTTAATATAATTAAATATAATCTTATTTTGTATTCAATATTTATCGTTTCATTTTGAACAATTAAAAATAGCCACAGTGAACACTTTGAATTCGAACTTATTATGTATTATTTCATTTATTTAAGAATAACCGGAATTTAGTTTACATGTATAACAGTATGATCTCGTTAATGTACGTTGTTTTCGTATATTACATTTGTGTTGGTTATTTTTTTCAAAGACAATTTTTCAAAACGCCGGAGACCTAAGAATTTCTTAATTTAAACTGACTTTTCTGACATCAAAATATAGCTTATTGACAGGAGTATTCAACAGTATGTGTTAATAGTATTTCCTCCGCATATTAAGTGTGCTTCAATTTTTGTAGTTACTGCTGTCTCGTTTGTTTTGAGGTAATTCATCGATATTTACTGATGTGAGTAAGGGAATTTAGATAATGAAATTTCAAAAAATCGGAGACCTTACAATGAGACAAGATAAACTGGATTTTTTAATACCACCAGAAAGGTAAATCTATGTAGAATTAGGTCGTATGTGTTAATAAGAATTCAAATGATTAATAAAAATAATATGAAGAATTAATGAAGGGTACCCATTTATTTTCCCATTACTTTCTATGTTAATCGAACATCATTAAAAACATTGCACCCCGGGTGTCGCTGATAAGGGTAATCGACCATTAGTGTCCTTCATTCTTGGGTATGAATACGAGAAAACATGTAGATATTAAACTTTGTCATACAGAAAAAAAAATATTCAAATATACTGCCAAACCGTCTTTTAGTTCGTGTAAAATATTCAATGAAGATTTAGTTGCAGTGGAAAATAAATGCACAAACAATTTTATGAATCAGCCTAAATATGCGGGATTTTGCATCTTAGATTTATCGCAACTTTTGATGTGCGATTTTCATTTCAATCATATGAAAAGCTTGTACGGTGATAAATTACGTGTATGTTTTTCCGATACTGATTGTTTTTTTTTTATATATCTTATTGAAACAGAAGATGTGTATGAAGATATGAAAGAGTACGAACATTTATTTGATACTAGCGATTTCCCTAAACAACATTTTTTACATAGTGAACATAATAAGAAGGTTAAAGGTAAATTGAAAGATGAATCAAATGGAGAAGCGATAAGCGAATTTGTAGGGTTGAGATCAAAAATGTATTCTTACATGTATGAAGGGGGTGAAAAGCATTCAGCAAAGGGTATTACAAAATCATCATCAAGAGAATTAAAACACGAAATGTATAAAAATTGTTTATTCAATCATGAAATAAAGTTTTGTCAAATGAATGTTATTAGGAGTGTTGATCATGTGTTGAAAGCTCAAAAAGTAAAGAAAAAAGGGTTAGTTCCTTTTGATGATAAAAGATGGATTTAAGAAGATGGAATAACAACCAGGGCTTACGGTCATACGAAAAATATTTAATTCTCATTACATGTAATTTAATATTGTTCACCCTCCATTTCCTTTGCGTTTAATATATGAACGAATTGTCAACAGAAATTTATTATGTAATGTCATATATGAAATGATTTAGAAAATAATAAAATTTGTGTAAAAAGATTATTATTTGTTTGTGTTTTCTTTTAATGAAATAATTTATTACCGATCTTATTACACTAGAGGCTTTTCGATTTGTTTCACATCATTGTTACATCATACCATGTGGTTCATGTTTGTAATGTTTGTGCTATTTTGTTTCATCATGTCAGATGGGTTGTATGAGGTCACCTTTCATATGGTCAAAGTAGGCTACCTTGTTGTGGATTTTTGTTACATCATGCCATATGGGTTGTATGAGGTCGCCTTTCATATGGTCAAAGTAGGCACCAGGTAGGCGCCTTAGGCACAGAGGTGCAGAGGCGCAATGAGGCGTTTTGCAGTCTCGTTTTACACTACTAATACGAATTGGTGTGGAAAAAAAAACTTAGTATAAAATTGAGAATGGAAATGGGGAATGTGTCAAAGAGACAACAACCCGACCATAGAATGAATGAATATGAATATGTCTATGTTAATGTTTTAAATTGTAGTAATGGTTTTTAAAACATCATACTGAATGAGTGACAACATTTTCAATTGTATTATTATAAATTAACGTTTACGGCTACTTGAATTAAACTGATTTTTCAGAGAAGAATTAAGCGGCATGATATTCAAAGCACTGTGGACAAATTGATTTTTAGAAATCCTAGGACATGACTACGGCTAGCTTGAAATGGTAGTGTGCGAATCGTATATCTGATCATATCTATCTACTGTTTTTCCGCCAGTTAGTTCAACTTAGTCAAGGAAAATAGTTCCGGAACGGAAACGATCACTGTACGGAGTTTCCGTTTTCCGTCTCCGTTCCGTATTCCGTTTTTGCCTTTTAGTAGTACCCAATTTCCAGTCAGTAATTGATTATCTCCCATATGTAGAAGTCTTCAAACATGGCTGCAATGAAATTATTTTCAGTTTGTCGATCTGGTAATGTTATTTTTTCAGTCCTTCCTTAACGCTTGTACATATGTTGTGATAGAAAAGGTGACACCTTTACAATTGTTTCTATCAGCGTTCTTATTTGACAAAAATCTTCAATTATTTTCCTCAGAAGCAAAGGAATTGCGCATAACAGAAAAGCACTACCTTGAAGTTCACCTTCATATATAATAATTAATATAACAAAATGTGTATGTCGAATACTAGTAGCAAAATATAAAAGTTTCATGCTTTATATAAGAAAGGGAATCATAATTCGAAACGATTATTTTTATGTTTGTCTTATTTCCATTGTCATAAAAAGATTATGCAAGGAAAAAAGTGTAGGTTGCATAAATAAAACAGATAAAAATGTATACAGAGCTCCAGATAAGAATTCACAAATTGGGGTTTTTACCCACCGATTTTAATGTAATTGAGCGAAATAGTTTTTTCAATTTCATTATTAATTCCAATTCACCCCTCAAGCAAATATCAAATTGGGTTTTTCACCACTTTCCTGAATGAATTGGGTTTTTTTCATCATCTAAATATTGAATTGAGGTATGTCATAATGTAATCATATCAAACAAAGATATTCATCCACTGTTATCTTATATATGTTTCTTTCAAGTTTATTTGGTTTCAACACTGACGAGCATTTTTTTCGTTTAATTTGTGTCTGGTTTGTTTCAACTGTTCCGCCAGTTTTGTATTTTCTGTAAATTTATATAAACCGCAGGGGTTCAAATTTGCTTTAAATAATGAAAAGTGAAAGGTCCTCCATAAAAAGAAATAAAAGGTCGTGTATAAAGCATCAAGTGTGAAAAATGGTAGGTCCTTGACTTTTGTAATTTAAAATTGAAAAGTCCTCTCCTTGAAAAGACAGGTCCCGGACCTCTGACCCACACTAATTTGAACCCCTGAACTGAAGTTACCAGTGGGACAGTAACTGATTACTTTTCTAGAGCACTTAGGATCACCCCTCAGGCCTGGTTTTTGTTTGGGTTATTATAACAATCGGTTCACATTGCTTGTCAACATTTTATTTTTCCAAGTATGGTAAATAGTTTTGAACAAAATATTGTCATGATTTAAAAGAGTGAAGTGCGAGTCAGACTCTGCTTACAAAAAATGTAGTTATCATCACATTCAATATATATCAGAGGCAACTTTGGCAATATGTAAATTTTTATTGATGATATCCATATGTTCAGCACTCTCATTTTGTCTTGTCACTGCTGACAGCTGAATATTTGGTTGCTTCGTGTCCTCAAACACTTGTACATGTTGTAATTTTTTTGTCTCAGTGGCTTGCGGTAGACCTACATTCAGAGCAATATATATATATATGACACCCCTGTTTAATCGATTTTATTTAGCCATGGGTTAAATTAAGTAATATTTTCATCGTAGGAAGAAAGGACAACGTCGATGATTTCGTCTAAAATGTCACGTACATTGTATATTCGGAGTTGTCGCCTTTTCCATTAAGAAATTGATAATGTGACTTGCGTACTTTTGTGCTTACGCACAGCGGTCTGTTATCAAATAGTTCAACAGAATATACGACTTTGTTACTAGTGGTGCTTTTTTTCTGCCTCTCCGACTCATGGTCTGCTAAAGAAAATTTAATAAACTGGTCCCTTATGTTTACCGGGGATACAGCTTTGAGTAACAAACAATTCCTTCCAACAGGGACCCAGATATAACACTCTATTTTTAGAACAAAAGTAGATTTCCCAACTCTGATTTTCTAATATTTCAAAAATAGATTTATGGGACAACAATTTATTGATTAGGGCAAATAACGCACACGATATCGACAATTAGGGTTGAGAACGCATAGTTTTGACATATAATTAGGTTTTCCTTTGAATGTATTGGGTTTTTATACGACCGCAAAAAAATTTTGTGGTCGTATATTGGTATGACGTTGGCGTCGTCGTCGTCGTCGTCGTCGTCGTCGTCGTCGTCCGGCGTCGTCGTCCGAATACATATTGGTTTTCGCACTCTAACTTTAGTTTAAGTGAATGGATCTTTTTGAAATTTGACCATAAGGTTAAATACCACAAAAGGAAGGTTGGGATTGATTTTGGGGGTTATGGTACCAACAGTTAAGGAATTAGGGGCCAAAAAGGGGCCAAAAATGAGCATTTTCTAGTTTCCAGACAATAACTGTGGAACGGTGTATGGATCTCTCTGAAATTATACTACAAGTTTCCCTACCACAAAGGGATGGTTAGGATTTGCTTTGGGGGGTTATGGCTCAAACCGTTTAGGAATTAGGGGCAAAAAAGGGGGAAAAACAAGGTTCTCCTGGTTAATGGACAAATACTTTAGTACAAAACATAATTTAAAGCAGTGTAAGGGAGATAAATCAAATACATCATTGAAATTATCTCCCTTACACTGCTTTTAAATTATGTATAAAGTAATGGTTAATGAACAATAAAGATAATCTAAAACAGTGTAAGGGAGGTAATCCAAATACAACGTTTTGGTTACTTCCCTTACACTGCTTTTAAATTATGTTTAAAGAAATGCATATTTATAAAGGAAGACCAGTAAAAATATCTGCAAATGTTTTCATCTTTTTTTTTTACAAAAAAATCCATATGAAAGATTTGACACTATATTTTTATTAATTCTATTATAAAATAGATTAAATTAGCACTATGGTAAATTTAAATGGGTAATTATGGTTGCCAACTCCATTGGAAATTTGAATTGAGATTATGACCATATCTTGAGGGAAAGAATTTTTTTGGGGGAAAAAGGGGGGGGGGATAAAAAGAAATTGTGGGGGGCCAATTTTTTCTCATTTCAGATTTCAGAAATTAAAAAGAATTATTCTTCAAATATTATTTTTTTTTCAAATTTCAAATATTGAAAAATTTCAAGAAGTAATCTTTAATTGCACAGTATGGCGCATTAGATTTGTAAAATCTTTGATCACATTTATTTATTTGTTATGCCGAATCTAACAGTGTATTTAGATTTTTAATTTTGGGTCCAGTTTTCAAATTGGTCTACATTAATGTCCAAAGGGTCCAAAATTAAACTTTGTTTGATTTTAGCAAAAATTGAATATATGAGGTTCTTTGATATGCTGAATCTAAACATGTATTTAGATTTTTGATTTTTGGCCCAGTTTTCAAGTTGGTCCAAATTGGGGTCCAAAATTAAACTTTGTTTGATTTCAACAAAAATTGAATATATGGGGTTCTTTGATATGCTGAATCTAACCATGTATTTAGATTTTTTATTTGTGGACCCCGTTATCTAATTGGTTCATATTGAGGTCAAAAGGGTCCAAAATTAAACTTTGTTTGATTTCATCTAAAATTGAATTATTGGGGTTCTTTGATATTCCAAATCTAACCGTGTATTTAGGTTTTTAATTTTGGGTCCTGTTTTTTAAATTGGTCTACATTGAGGTCCAAAGGGTCCAAAATTAAACTTATTTTGATTTTAACAAAAATTGAATTCTTGGGGTTCTTTGATTTGCTGAATCTAAACATGTGTTTAGATTTTTGATTATGGGCCCAGTTTTCAAGTTGGTCCAAGATAGGGTCCAGTATTTAAACTTTGTTTGATTTCAACAAAAATTGAATATATGGGGTTCTTTGATATGCTGAATCTAAACATGTATTTAGATTTTTGATTATGGGCCCAGTTTTCAAGTTGGTCCAAATTGGGGTCCAAAATTAAACTTTGTTTGATTTCAACAAAAATTGAATATATGAGGTTCTTTGATATGCTGAATCTAACCATGTATTTAGATTTTTTATTTGTAGGCCCCGCTATCAAATTGGTTCATATTGAGGTCAAAAGGGTCCAAAATTAAACTTTGTTTGATTTCATCGAAAATTGAATTATTGGGGTTCTTTGATATGCCAAATCTAACCGTGTTTTTAGATTTTTAATTTGGGTCCCGTTTTTTAAATTGGTCTTCATTGAGATCCAAAGGGTCCAAAATTAAACTTAGTTTGATTTTAACAAAAATTGAATTCTTGGGGTTCTTTGATATGCTGAATCTAAACATGTGTTTAGATTTTTGATTATGGGCCCAGTTTTCAAGTTTGTCCAAGTTGGGGTCCAAAATTAAACTTTTTTTGATTTCAACAAAAATTGAATATATGGGTTTTTTTTGATATGCTGAATCTAACCATGAATTTAGAATTTTTATTTGTGGGCCCCGCTATCAAATTGGTTCATATTGAGGTCAAAAGGGTCCAAAATTAAACTTTGTTTGATTTCATCAAAAATTGAATTATTGGGGTTCTTTGATATTCCAAATCTAACCGTGTATTTAGATTTTTAATTTTAAGTCCCGTTTTTTAAATTGGTCTACATTAAGGTCCAAAGGGTCCAAAATTAAACTTAGTTTCATTTTAGTAAAAATTGAATTCTTGGGGTTCTTTGATATGCTGAATCTAAACATGTGTTTAGATTTTTGATTATGGGCCCAGTTTTCAAGTTTGTCCAAGTTGGGGTCCAAAATTAAACTTTGTTTGATTTTAACAAAAATTGAATATATGGGGTTCTTTGATATGCTGAATCTAACCATGTATTTTGATTTTTGACATTGGACCATAATAGGTAAATTAAAAAAATTCAAGTTCTTAGACCACATTCTTTCTGTGTCAGAAACCTATGCTGTGTCAAATATTTAATAACAATCCAAATTCAGAGCTGTATCAAGCTTGAATGTTGTGTCCATACTTGCCCCAACTGTTCAGGGTTCGACCTCTGCGGTCGTATCAAGCTGCGCCCCAGCGAAGCATTTTATTGAATGCTGCAATAGTCAATTGAATTGGGCCAAAATAAAAATATTGTATGTTTGCCCAAACGCGACCGACCCAAAAAAAAACCGCCGACTCAAATTCTTTTTTTGCCGTTTTTTTGAAGAATTTTTTTTCTGATCTTTTTCGTGTCCGCTCCGTCATCGTATAAAACTTAATGTTCGTCGTCTTAGCGTTTGAAAGTAACTGTGAATAAGATTA